CCATAATGACACCAAGTATAAAGTTGGATGGTCATTGGTGGATTTAACTCATTATCGTTTTCTCTTTCAACGTGTGCGGTGTTTTTGAGAGCTGCTTGAATGGTGGGGTCTGCGTTGCTTGCCGAATTATCTTCACATCGAACGGCTTGGCTTCCTCCATATAATAAACGTAAATAATTTGGGTTTCTGTTTAAAAGCATTTGAGAGTTGAGATTGCTTTCCAATTTTTTATGTTCATTCAATTAATCACCGATACATCATTTTTAAATTAACATATTATCTCAAATATATTATTGTTAACTTCATCACCATCCCACCAAAATAATGACATGTTAATTTGGAATGATGTATCAATAATTAATTGGGTGAATATTAAAAATTGGACAACAGATCTCAACCTAGCATTTGAGTGACGATTTTCATTGATTTCTATCGATGGTAAAAGAAAACAGGGTGGGTTGGATCGACACTTGTATTCTCTCGAATTGTCGAATTTTAAAGCATGTGTGTTGATTTTTGTTTGAAGGTTTCGAGATTCTATTGATTTTCATGAACAATGTAGCATCAGAGCGACAATCTTATTCCTTATCTCTATTCGAGTCTTTACGATTTTGAAATTTTACCCTTGATTTTCAATAATTTTTACGGATGACAAATCAAACAAGGTGGGACCGTGACCATTGTCAGGGCGGCGCTCCTTGTCCCTTTATCCTCATCCCAATTATCAAGGGCATGTTCGGTAGGGATTAAAATTGAAAAATTAGTCGTTATTGTTGACTTTTGTTAGACGAGTGAGATCCAATAACGACTATACTTTCAATTTTAATTGAATTTTAATCGTTACCAGACGAGCTCCATAACTATGAATTTCTATCATCGCTTTTCGTTAATTTCAACTGATGACAACATAACAATGTTGGACCAAGGTCTTTGCTAGGGTGACGATCCATGGGCCTTGTCCCATTCCCTATCTCATTTATTCGTTTCTATTTTTTGTTTGTTTTAGTCAACGACAAGACTCATTTATAGCTTTTTGACAATTTCTTTCTAGCTTTTATGATCTTGCATTCATCTTCAAATAATTCAGAATATACTATTTAATCGTGGCTATTATTATGTAAAAAAATGTTATTATGATTTGTTTATAAGTGTAATTTGTTTAATGTTGAATTGTGTTATGCTAGAATTAAGGTGTGACCCGAATTCTACTTGGAATACTATTTGAGAATCTTATTTGAAATCTATTTGACAATTTTAGTTAAAATTTTAATTTGGGAGTTCAATTGAGAGTTTGAAAGTTGCGTTGGACATGAAAATATCAAGATATGAATTATGAAGATATTTTTAAAGCTTTTCCGCTAGCGATCGCTAGCCTCTCACTCAAATGGAGGTGTCAAATTCTTTACAACGAGTTGGCACTCGAGCGCCCTATGCATCCAACCTAGACTCGTTTAGCATTTTTTACGCTTTTTAAACATTCATTTCCATCTCATATTTTAGGCTATGTTTGATAACCCACATTTTCCATGGAAAATGGAAAAAAAAAATTCTATTTCCACCCTTAACTCTTATTTGATAGACAAAATTTGACGTGGAAATTTTTTTCCCACCCCCCACCCACGCGCCTCTTTCCTGCTTTCCAAAGAATTCATTTTCCCA